TACTCTATAGTGCGAAGCATATCTCCGTTCTCAGGACTGAACCCTGCAAGACTGCAGCTCTGAACAATACTAAACTATATACCCATTGTCTAGCAGCATCGACGCAGGATGATCACCATATGCCAGTAAGAACAGGGCAATTGTCCTGAAAAAACAACGTGCGGAATCAGGATGGTGTAGACATGTCTGACTGTGGATGAGGAGGCACTACAGTCAGACTTGAATGATGCATCTATGGCGCGTGTTAACGAGGGTCGTTTTGCGCTTATGATGAACGGGACTGGGTGCAAAGGAGACGGATGAAGATGAATTAGCAGCATATGATTGTAATGCACCAGCAATTGATGATCATGACCCAGTCGAATGTTGTACCTTGCGGGATGAATGTGTCTGTCTATGGTAGCACCGAGGTGGGAGGCTGGAAGGATATCCGAGGTAGTCTCGTCGACAGTTGCAGTATTATTGTCCTGCTGGTATTCTTTACAGCCACAGTGGTTGTTTGGTGATCAGTACCGAGTGACTAGGACCAAGGGTCAATGGATGATTTGAGCTATTGCAGGAGATGGTCATCGATTCGATGAGTATCTGCTCGAATAATCATATCACAAGCACTGCTAGTGCCTTATTATAAAAAGAAGTCCACTGAGCAGGTCACGCTTTAAAGCCATGATCCCTGGATATAGAGCCGAGCTAGCAGTGTGACATGAGTTTACATATATCGCATAAAAGGCTATCATAAAAAGGTCCATCAGAACAGACATAGTAATCATAAAAAATCCTTGTGACCTAACGAAACTAGTCCTGATATACTCGGCCTGCGTAAGCATTCCTTCTAACAAAGGTCTGAGTCCTAGGATGAGCGGGATGTACATGCACCCGGCCAAGCCTGTTGACTTGAAGAGTGGTGATGGCGTGCAGAAGATGCAATTCTCAGCATTTTTCAGGTCCTGCTTGAATCATATAGAAAACGAACAAGGAACACCCAATCTGACACTAAAGCAGAGACTGGGGGCGTTTGAACCAAAGCGAAAAAAATGGACTCGCGGGGAATCGAACCCCGGACCACCCCCATGCTAAGGGGGTATTATACCACTAAACCACAAGCCCAATAGATGACACTCAACTAGCAACTGAGTTCTACCATTCTACATAGTCATTGATATATGGGATGACACTGCCCAATACCCTTCACAATCTCATCCATTTGAGGACTTCATAGCGACTTGATAACACGTTTTGTACTATCCAACATTTGCAGTAACTCATCTTGCATAAGGGCAGATTCCCAATCGATGAGCCGGAAGAATACCTAAATTTGCAGTAGTCTCCAGGCATGACAGCCACAACCAATGCGCAAAGTGAGGCCAATTATGTGTAATTTTAACTTTGTCGGCTTGTACAACTTCACAGTAAAGGTGAAGATGAAGATGACAAAGATCCGGGACATTTAGTTAGGCCATACGAGGTGGCAGATGTATGCTTCTGGAGTTGAAGTCGACTAGCAACTCCGCTGAGCCTTAGGACTCTAAAATTCAATTCTCTAGTATCAGTTGGGCTTGTGGTTTAGTGGTATAATACCCCCTTAGCATGGGGGTGGTCCGGGGTTCGATTCCCCGCGAGTCCATTTTTTTCCCCCCATCTACCCTAATATCCTTTTCTGCTCATCTTTTATTTTTGTTTTCATTTCCCACACGTCCAGTTCTTTATTATCAGAAAATCACTGTTGAAGCGGGGACATGCAGTGGATAAGGTATGTAACAGCACCTATGGAGCTAAACAAAGGAAGATCCAACCTTCGGCAGTCTCCGACAGTCAGCCTGTCCATACAACACAGAAGTAACAGAACTCCAACAATCGCAGCAACATAGTAGCCTCATCTACTCCCTTACCTGCAATTTCCATGTCCAATATTGTATACATGATCTACTTGGATTGCTTTGCCCTACTGATCATTCCTGCACTTGTGCTGAGGGGTCAGCAAAACCATGAATCCCATATGGATGGTGATTCGTCTTTCTACAGCCTGGAGAGCAAACGACTCAAGCGGCCATGCCAAAGCTCCCAAGCTCTCAGTTGACCTTCCTGATTGTGTCTAGCATCTTCTCTTATGCTAGTCTTCGCCATGGCCAGAGGATCGAAGCTAACTGGAGCCACAAAATTTTCGCCAATAGGAGCCTTCCCGCCAGTGAGCGACTCTTCGGAAACCTCCACTTGACGATTTAGTCCAAGCTAGAGCATAGGTCCTAGAGCGCTAAGCAGATCAAACCCCAACTTTTCGCAATCTCGATTTTTGTCGGGAGTCTTTCCATCAGGCATCCCTGCATCCACTGCTAAATCCCAACTGGATAGATAGCCTGTCTCCTTCTATGCTCTCCCGCACTGAAAATACACCTCTCGTCCACAAATCACTCGAAACGAGGAGGAAGGTACTGTGCCTGTGAGACGTTAGAGGAGGAGAAAGTGGAAGGAGGACAAGGTTAACTGTTGTCCACTTCGGCCTGAGACCTACACTGATATGTCGACAAACGCCAAAACCTCTGGCATCGCCAATGTTGGGGAGATAGATCACCACACATCTAAGGAGAGCCAGCCAGTCTCTCAGGAAACATCACGACTCCCATATTCAGAGAAACAGTCAATGACCGTGCCTCATGCAGCTTCTGAAAATCCTTTAGTGGGCGAGACAGGAAAACTTGAGTCATCGACGCAGCATAATTCACAACATGGCCTACCTTCGACTCACCAGACAAACAGAATGCTCGAAGAAGGAGGCTATGCACAGTGCATCAATGATATTCCTTCAGATGCCTCGGAATATCGGATTCCCGTGAGTCGGGTTACAACCGATGCCGAGGGAAACACATATCCAGAAGGCGGTTTAGAGGCATGGCTGGTGGTATTCGGAAGTTTCATGGGACTTTTTGCGTCCCTTGGTCTGGTCAACACCATCGGCACATTTCAGGCGTATCTTCAAGATCATCAGCTGAAAGAATACAGCCCTGGCAACGTGGGCTGGATATTTGGCGTTTACTCGTTTTTGACCTTCTTTTGCGGAGTTCAAATCGGCCCGGTCTTCGATGCGAAAGGGCCTCGATTTCTTGTTCTTGCTGGCGCTGTTTTAGTCATTGTGATGATGATTGCCCTCGGGTTCTGCACTAAATACTGGCATTTTATGCTCGTGATTGGAGTCGCCGGAGGAACGGGAGCCTCTCTCATTTTTACGCCGGCGATATCTGCAGTCGGCCATTTCTTCAATGAGAAACGCGGCGTTGCAACTGGTCTTGCTTCTACTGGAGGCTCTGTTGGGGGAATAGTCTTCCCACTGGTCCTGGAGACTCTCTTTCCCAAGATCGGCTGGGCATGGGCAACCCGTGTTATTGCCTTGATTTGTTTGATCTTGGTAATCGGATCCTGCCTGCTGGTGAAGTCGCGCCTGCCTAAGAAGCCGGCTTCCAAGGAGAACGTCCTCCCTGATTTTCGGATTTTCCGAGATCCCAAGTTCGCTTTCACAACAGCAGGCATCTTCTTCATTGAATGGGGCCTCTTTGTTCCGATCAGCTATATCTCTTCGTATGCTCTGGCCCACGGGGTTTCTACAAAATTGTCATATCAAATGGTAGCTTTCCTCAACGTGGGCTCGGTCTTAGGAAGAGCGATCCCGGGATTCATCGCAGATTTCCTTGGTCGCTTCAACACACTGATTGTCACAGTGGCTCTCTGCCTAGTGTGCAACGCGTGTCTCTGGCTTCCTGCTGGCGACAACGTTCCTTTAATGATCGTTTACTGCGTGATATTTGGGTTCGCCAGTGGCAGCAACATCAGTCTTACGCCAGTCTGCGTTGGACAACTCTGCAAGACTGAAAATTACGGGAGATACTATGCCACGGCATATACCATCGTAAGCTTCGGGTGAGCTCATACTACATTCTTGCCTGTTTATTGTACCATTTTGGCACTCTGATGGCTGACTGAGCTTTGGATTAGCACTCTCACCGGGATTCCAATTGCAGGCGAGATTCTCAGCCGTTGCAATGGAGAGTATTGGGGTCTGATTGTCTTTACAACTTGCTGCTATGCCCTCGGTCTCGCATGCGTCACTGCAGCGAAATTAATTCATGTTGGCTGGCGTCAACCATGGGTCGTCTACTGAATCCGGTCTCAATTGAATATTAAGACGTCTGGCGGCGTGCTTACTCCCGACAAAATCACCTTAGATGCAGCAGCAGCTGCAGAGGGAAATTGATGGGAGTTACGGAAGGACGAATGGAAGGCAACCTGCGACCAATTTACACTCCAGTACGCGCGGAAAAGAATCTTGTGGGAATAGCTATTCTCTGAATTGCGCGACTGGCCGCCTTACTGGCAGCTTGGTGCAAGATGATGATGAGATGATCCAGATGTGACGCCGGAAAGCTATTCCGGACAGAAGCGAGCAATTCATTTCCTGGAAACAATGCGACTGGACCAGGGAAACATACCAACGGCTCGAACGTCAAGTCGAGCCCATGTACCTGTTATACGAAGGATAATCAATCTGTTTGAGACGGACTTCGTTATCTTTGTTTAAATGGGTTACCCTGACGATTACGAAGGTTTCTGTCCCCATAATACCTTGAGACGACCACGTCCAATTTTGGAAGCGCATCCACGTTATTTATCGTTCAACTCGATAGATATCGTTGAATATAGGCACGAGCATCAGAATGATGGTCAGCTAGAGTGACCGTGGTTGCAATGCTCCGACAAGTTCCAATAGGACGTCCGGAATCAAGAACTGGAAGCTTACCAGCGTGATCATTCCAGTGAGACCCGATACCGCACGCTCGCTGGATGACATACAGACCTCATCATAACTCAAGGTCGGGTACATAATTGGTGCTTATCCTAGATCCTCAAGGATGTCTTCAAACCATTCGCTGATCGAATAGCTGCTCATAACCCTGAGCCATCTCTTTCTCTTGCTTTCCCCTATCTCCTACTGTGGTTGCTCTGTGAACAAGATGCACACTGGGAGGCAGGCTCTGCCACTCGCAGCAGCAGCATGGATGCTACTCCATGGTGCGATAGCAGCCCCCAAACCCGGCCTGGGCCAGCTTCCCCCCCCGGAGGCCTTAAGATCGGCAGGTCTAGCTAGTGCAGCTTTGTCTTCATCCCTAGCTGCGATTATGGCATCTGGGGTTCCTCCTGCAACTCATACAGTTACTGTCCCATCTGGAGTTCCCCCTGCAACTCATACAGTTACTGTACCATCTGGAGGAACTGCTACTGAATCACTCCCAACAACAGCACCAACAGGAGGAGCTACCCGGTCACTCCCGCTCACAGTGCCGACTGGAGGAGCTGCTACTGAATCA